TATGTCTGCGGACTTACAACGCTTGAAACCGGGTTTCGATACCCGTGGTGGGCAGAGCACATATAGCCCATTGTGTAGCTTTGTGCTTAATTACAAACAGACAAACTTAATAATATTTTAGCTATAATAATAAAGCAGTTAATTAAAAGAAATAATGAGAGCATTTCTAAAATTATTCTTAATAAAAAATGTTCTCCAACAATAAAACAGGTAATTAATAAACAATATCGCATTAAACCAGTATTTTCAATCAACAAAGCATAAAGGTCCAACAGAGCCACGAGTATATTGCTAATGTCATTGTTGATTCACCAGTTCGTAATTTTCTAACCTATGTAAACAACTTCTGAGAATTTACCAATTTCTTATCTTTGAAGAAACGTTACTTGACAGGTGTAAAACGACAAGGAACGAATGAATCTAGATCTCAATTTATGTAAAACTGCATAAAGTTATACCTAATTTTATTTCTAAGGCAATACGTTAAATAATGAAGAACTTAGAAAACATTTTATAGTACGTGAAGTAGTAAACAAATTAACGCCAGATGTTATATCACATTTAAAACTTTTGATAAAAGTTTAGAAACACAACCTTTACACTACAGATAAATATAAAGGAATATTTTTTTATTTCAACCAACGTTTCGCCTAGCGGATTCATCAGGGTTATGTTTTGTTTGTTTGTTTTTAAATTTCGTGTAAAGCTACACGAGGGCTATCTGCGCTAGCCGTCCCTAATTTAGCAGTGTAAGACTAGAGGGAAGGCAGCTAGTCATCACCACCCACCGCCAACTCTTGGGCTACTCTTTTACCAACGAATAGTGGAATTGACCGTCACATTATAACGCCCCCACGGCTGAAAGAGCGAGCATGTTTGGTGGTACGGGGATTCGAACCTACGACCCTCAGATTGCGAGTCGAGCGCCTTATCTACCTGGCCATGCCGGGCCTCATCAGGGTTAATATAGACACAACTGATTAACCCTGATGAATCCGCAAAGGCAAAACGTTGGTTGAAATAAAAAAAAAATATTCCTTTATATTTATCTGTGGTGTAAAGGTTGTGTTTCTAAATTTTTATCAAAAGTTTCGAATTAATTAGTTGTGTGTATATATAAACCCTGATGAATCCACAAAGGCGAAACGTTGGTTGAAATAAAAAAAATATTCCTTTATATTTATCTGTGGTGTAAAGGTTGTG